CCCGCTCCGCCCCGCCCCGCTGTCGTATGCTTCAAGGCCACATGCTAGGCTTGATGTTGCGAGTCGTGATATTCAATCAGCTTGAGGTTTATGGTCTTGTCTTCCTTGCAAGTGTCCCGTGGACGGACTGTTTTGTCATCTGCATAAAGCGCAGGGACATGATCCCGCGTTGCTTTCTACGTTGCTTTTTACGGACATGGCTCTGGTCCTGCCCCGAGGGCCTGAAGCTTCCCAAGTCCTTGGTTGAGCGTTGCTTAGAATTCTGCGAGAATCAAGAGATTCCCTGTCCACATCTTGAAAAAGGCCCACATACAGAGAGACACATAGGCAGAGAGACCACTTTAAGAGCCAGTCTCCGCGATATCCGTTCTTTCGAGGTCCTCTGACATACAGACAGGCGAGATATTTACATATATACTTTATGCATTAGGACGGCGCGAAGAGAATCTCAGTGTCTGATACTTATCTCTGTTTACAGACTCACTTGTTGAACTAACAAGCCATATGCTTCGTCCTCCTTCTCGAAGAGGTACCTGTCTGTCCGTAGACCATGCCACGCTAATGCTACTTCAATTGATCGGGATCGACCGCCAATTGCATAAAGTGCACAGCAAGGTACCTCAGGAGCTGGCCGAGACCTTCTTGTGCGTACGTGCGTTGGTAGAAGAAAAAGCAAAGCTGATGCCTCTTCACTCACTGTAACCAATTGGCGTTGCGCGCCAACCAGCTTGTCTTGTCAACTATCGTGAGCTGCAGCAATATCAGAGCGTTAGGCCCCTCAAGAGCGACGTACAAGGGCTGACAGTTTGACCTTGTATAGTTTGATAGCGCTATCTTCAAACATCGAGCTCGGAAGGTATTTCTATAGTCTCAGATGAATATCTGCCCTTCATCACATCTTATACAAAATAGCATCCTTTCCTTTCATCTGGAGTCTGTCTTGCAACTTGCTGAGCTAAGGGCCCTTGCATCATTGCGCTGCATACAAGACGTCCGAAATTGCGAGCTTGCTTGACCTATTCTGCTCCTCTCTTTTGTCGTCTCAGCCTAGAAAGCGTGGGCAAGCGAATTACATTCTGCGGTTCCGCCAACTGCACTAAAATAGACGCTAGCTCCCCGCGTCTTACCTTACTTCAACTCTTCAGTTCCTCTCTTCTCGTCGACCCTGAGCTTCCACTTTATTTGTTCCAGTCACTAACAGGGTGTTGCTTTAATCATCTCAATTATAAAGCACCTCTCAGGCGTTGTTTCTCGAATTGTAGCAAGGGAGACTCATGATAATCAACCTGACTTGAACTGCCGAAGCTCAGACAAATCCTTGCTCGCTGCAGCCTGCAACAAGTGCTCCTGGAAGACTGGCTGTTGTCAATCACCTAGACTACCTAGTCGCTGCCATTCCTGTGCATCCACCAGCAGGGTCCTGGATGGAGCCACTAGGTCGCTTTTCAAGCCTCGATCTACCTGTACGTGGGCCATAAAACCATTTCAAGTTCGATCCGCCAACTTGAACCATCAATCCTACCCTAATTATCACCGACTCCTCGAACTCAGCAAGTCGCTTACCACGATTGCTTCACCACACCTCACGGCCTCCCAAGCATTTTGCTGGGATCTACGGGCTTCCCGCCGCTCGAGGTCCCAGGAGTAGGAGTCCATCCGCTCCGCCGCCGCAAACCGGCCCCGCGCCGACTCGCGCAATTCGAATAACGGGAAATGGACAAGCAACAACAGACTGTGCAGAAGAGCAGGCAGCGCCGCGAAGCCGAGAGAGAGCGCAAGCGAGCACTACGAGCGTATGTTCACTATACCTTCTATTCACTTCGCCGCTATGCGCCGAGATCTCTGGCGCAGGCAAACTGGAGCATGTGTTTCTCGGGTCTTCTCCTTCACATCAGGTTCCAGATGTGATTAACCCTTAATCACCTGTCGCCGCTTATTTCTTACGCTCATTTACTGTTCCGGCTTTCACATGCTGACTGACCGTTATTCTATAGCTGCGACGGCTGCCGACGACAGAAGGAGAAATGCGACGGTGGTGTACCATGCCGAAGATGTACGCGCCTCCATCGCCAGTGCGAGTTCCTGGGCCCGACTGCCAGAGATGCCGAAGGAGGTGATGGTGCATCGAGGTAAGTCGCCATGCTATTGTTGCACACCATTGAATGCTTTCAAGCTTACTGACACATCAGTAACTAGGAATCGGTCCGGCCCAGGCAACGCTGAGCTCCTTCAGCGTGTTTCTTATATGGAGAAGATCATTGCCCACTATGCTGGAGGTGTCTCTCTTGATACGGAATCACTGAAGGCTATGGCTGAGTCCATAGACAACAAGAATTTTGATGCTAATCAAGTTCAACGACAAGCTCCGATTATGGATTCTCCGGGCTCTGACTTTTTGGGAGCAGAAGATGAGAACTATACCGTCCAGCCACTGGATAATAACACTACTCGTAAGACCGACTGCTTATACTCAACGTCCACAAGTAACTAATCAACCCCGCTCATAGACTACTCGGGCGAGTTCTCTCACTGGAATTTCTCAATGAGAATCAAGCAATGGATCGAACAATGTGTACCAGAGCGCCATGTATGTTACTCCAGCCTTGTTTTGTAAGAATGAATGTCTCATGCCTTCGCTAGGATGCACCAGGTCCCCTCAGTTTCAAAGAGTATTATCGAGCCGAGGAGCTCCAGTCAGCCAATAACACGCAGGCATCACTTTCTGCCCTACCCCCTCGATATGTCGCCGAATTTCTGGTCCAGGCATTCTATAAGCATGCCGAGACCAACTACTTCTATGTTGAGCGTGGGTGGCTCGCAGAACAGATTGATCTGATTTATCAGAACCCCGGGGCTTTGTCTCGTCGTGAAGTGGGGACACTCTGCATGATTTGGATCATCTTTGCGATTGGAACTCAATACGCATACCTCGATTCGATCTCGGGAAGAGATGCCCATGGCAAGTCAAACGATTCAAGCCCCTTCTCCGAGGATACAATAGGTGTGATGTTCTATCAACAAGCCTGCAAGCTTGTCCCTGATGTCATTACCGTTGCATCACTGGAGAGTGTTCAGGCTATTCTTCTCATCGGTATCTATACATTGCCCCTTGATGCCTCAGGCTTATCGTATATTTATCTTAACCTCGCGGTGAAGCTCGCAATTCAGAATGGCATGCATAGGAAGTGGCCTGCCGGGGGACTTGATCCTTATGTTCGTGAAACGAGGAACCGCGTATGGTGGACAGCTTATACGACAGAGAAGTATGCTTTATTGATTACATGATTTAGTACCCGGATGCTAACCACTACAGACGAGTTGGTATCTACCACGGACGGCCTTTATCTATTTTGAGTAAAGATGTCGATGCAGAGATGCCCACTGATCGCCCAGACATTATGCCATCAAGCCCTACAAACGTTGCACACATGCTTGCAACACTACGATTGAATCAAGCGCTTGGCAAGATTGCCCATGAGATGTATGCATTTGCACTATTCTGCGCTCTATTTTCAACAAGCTAATCATTTTTGGCAGCTCTGTTCTTCGAACCGCACAGAAACATGAGATGAATGAAGGTTTGCAACGGGTCATTGATATGAAGGAGGAGCTCCGAAGGTGGTGGGACGCACTGCCCGAAACTGCGTTTCACGAAGAAGTCAATCCTCAAAATCCTATTACACGTGCAGATACGCATCTCAAGCTAGAGTATTGCCTGCTGCGAATGTATGCTGGGCGGCCCTTCATCTTACCTCGCGAAGTCGTGCGTGGGAACGCGAGCACATCGAGTTCACCCGCTGATTCAAACAACCAAAGACCCAACACACCACATAAGTCCAACCCTCGGTCAATCCTGGTTGCTGACTGCGTTGAGGCTGCGTTGACCATAATCGACACATGCCATCTTCTTCAAAGCACTATCGGCCTTGCACGGGCATCATATACGGAGTTCAGTTCCTGTCGTGCTGCTCTCCTAGTTATCATCACCCAGTGCTTGCAAAAAAAGACAGATAGGCTACGTGACGCTCTGCGCACTGGCATGGCTATGATCAAGGAGATGTCAGCGGGTGGAGAGTCAGCCCGTTCTGAAGCCTCGTTGATTGAGGTTTTCGAGCGTGCTATCTCACGACTTGACGCCACTGCTGATCCCTCGGGCAGAGAAACTGACTATTCGCGGTTCAAGAAATGGGAATTGCTTTGGAAGAATGACGTGCCTATCCAGGACTTCAGGCAAGAAGAATCGCCTGAGACTTCCTTGCCACTACCCCAAAACCCGAATGCGTTTTGGAGAGGAAGCACAGGCACGACTGCTCGACCTGGTATGCCAACGATGCAGGCTCCGAGTCCTTTTGTGGGAATGGATACCAATTTTCCCTCGGTACCCCAGGTTATGGATGAGTTTTCTACACTGTTTGGATACGGTTTCGGCCCTAGTCCTGACAGTATGGCTGGCACAGCTAACGGGGGCATGTGGATGGGCCCATGAAATTTCATGCATGTTTCAAGTCGATTACTTCACATTCTTGAAGGGGAAAGGAGGGTATCACAAGTCGCTCGGGCATGTTCCAATGCTGTGGCTGCTCGGTTGAAATACCGAGAAACATGCCATCAGGAATCCAGACTTGCCCAACCCACCCAGAATCAGCACAGTTCTGCTACGGAATAATTTTCTGCGGGGGGGGGGGGGGGGGGGGGGGGGGCGGATAATAACAGGACTGCTGGTTTGCAGGTACAGCAGAACTTCCGGTGTTTGCTGCTCGCAGTACCATAGCAATCTTGGCTTGTTGTGCATGATGGAATATAAGGTCATTGCCTCACTCTTCGGACACCATGACCTAAACGTTTTGTCCTGCCAACTCAGCTAAAAGAGAACGGAAATGCAATAGCAGACACGAGGGCTGGTATGCCACTGCTTGAAAAGTATGAGAAAACACAAATCATGTTTTCCCTTTCTTGATTAACCAATCCGGTTGGTTTAATCTAAAACTCATCGGCCTTCACAATTTGTCTTGAGTACCTACAGCCAATTGCCATAAAAGGGCTTTGACTAATAACATCAAGTTCAAGGGCAGTCTGTATTGGCGCAAACCAGAAAGAAGGGATAAACCGGGAGAAAAGCCAGTACCACGATTTCGCCTACAAGTGAACCACACTTTTTATTCACACCAATACCATTGAACGTCGTTCAAATGCAACAGCTCACTTCTTTGTCCAACAGCAATCAAGCCCAACGGCTAGAAGCGGATAAGAGATGGGAAATATTCATAGCGACAAGGCAAGCATCATCATAGATTAGGCTGACAAATAAACTACTGTTACAAATTCTGTACCCCTACACAAAACCGCTATAGTAATGTGTATCTTTTCCACTGCTTGTTCTTGAACCGACCCATTAATACAAGGAAACAACTGCTCTAGGCACGCTGTGTCTGCCGCTTCTGAGATCTGCGCATCTCCTTCTCCCTCTCCTTTTCGAGGTATCGCTTTTGCGCCTTGGCATCGAGACCTTTGAGCTCAGCGTCGCGCTTAGCCTTACGGGCCTTCTCCTTCTCGAGGAGAAGTTCCTCTTGGCGTTGGCTCTCGGCGGTCTTCTTGAGCTCACTGATGGCATGCTCACGGGTGCTGCGGACTTTCTTGGAAACCTCAGGGCGGAAATGGGCAACCTTGACAAGGACATCAGGAAGCTGGAGAAAGTGCGAGAAGAGAGGCAGAAGATTATCGTAATTGCCGTTGGAAGGGAGGGCGTACTTCAGGAAGAGTCGCTTGCGGGGAGTAGTCTCCTCAAGGGTAGCGGGCTTATCAACAGGCTGATCGGAGATGATTAGGTACTCGAACAGGTCGCCAGCGGCTTGAACAGCGGCAATGAGCTCAGGAGTAAGGAGTGTATCAGTGATCTCGGCGCTTTCGCTCATGACAGTGAGCCAAGCGGGAAGCTTAGGGTTATCCTTGGTGAAAGTGAGAGAAACATCGTATCGGTCGTCGCGGACTCGACGCATGACATCCTTGTGCACCACACCCCAAACAAAACCATCATAGGTGCTCTTAGCATCCTTGGCGCGGATTTCGGAAGCACCAGGAGCAGAGGGGACAGTGAGACTCTCCTTGCCATCAAAGGGGTAGGTCAGAATCTCGACGGCATCCTTGGGCGCATCAACAGTCTCGACGAAAAAGCTTGCGACATGCTCGAAGCCATTGACAATGGGGTTGAACTTCTTTGTCAGAGTAAGCTTAAAGTCGGTGAAGGCTGTGTTCTGCCGGCCAGTAGCGTATGTCGCAAATTCAAAGAGGGACTTCTCCTTGATGAGTGTATCGGGCTTAACATCTTCATTATCCAAAGTGGGTACACCACCAAAGCCAACAAGAGCGTATTCCTTCTGGAGAACGGGAGCGTGAGCGCGAATCCAAGCCTTGGCCCTAGAGCGATTGCGACGAGCACCGATCATATGAAGGAGGAAGATAAAACTCGAGATGAGGAGAATGATGCCCTCAAGCCTAAACTCGGAGAGAGAGTGGCGCTCGTGGACATTGTACCACTTGGTATACGGTACGGCCGTAGCGGCGGCGGCAGCGCTTCCAGCTGTCGCATCCTGGGTAGCGGCCTCAGGAGCTGGATTAGGAGCCTCGGCGAAGTCTGCAAAGTCTAGATGAAGAAGTCGCGTGTCAGTAATGATATTCAATTCCAATCCTTGCGCGTCGCAATATTGCGCAATTGTCAGATACTTAGATTAGGTAGGGTGGTGACTGACCGGAATCTGGACTCGCAGGCTCAGGGGCCTTTGCACCTCCAAAGGCGTTCTTCAAGAAAGAGGCCATTTTCGAGTCTTCGAAAAGGGGATTAAGAGGTCGTGGCTGAGGAGGGGAAGAAGCGAAGCGAAGAGAGCAAGAGGCCACGGCGTAAGGAGGCAAAGAAATAGGCGATGTGGGTGATGCGGAGAGCTTACCTTCCATTAGCTTGGCAAGGTGGAGACGAACCCAACTGATGGCATCTTGAAGCTAAGCTGTAAAAGGCATCTGAACTCAATTGCTCATTAACCTCTTCGTGGGTTTCTTTAACCTTGATTTATCTATAGAAGTGTACTTGAATGAAGGCAAGGAGGAAGGTTTGCGACGCTTATGATTCCGGTTATGTATTACATGGGTTGGCTGAAGTCCCAAAATCAGGAAAGGTAGTATACACCTTGCCAATGAATGCTAGCCTTGACATTGACCTAAGGAAAACATATGGTAAATTATTAAATTTCCTGGTCTTTCACCGTCAATTGAGGTCATGAACCTCATTATACTTCCCTTTTCTAAAGTCGGATTTTCGTGGTGTAATTCCCTAAAGCCGGCAATGCAAGCAAACAGCTATTCAAGAACCCTTGGGGTCTCTAAAATATGAAACGACAGACTTAAGACTCTTGTGTAAATGAGTAGCACGCCCGTCAATGAGGTAATCACTAGTTGGGCAAGGTGTTTGGCGACAGTAGGTCTTTATACCTTTAGACATAAAGGAACAACGAAAACTATGAAATACATTTCTATTGCTTAGCTTTGGGCACACATGAACTGAACTGCGCATGCTCACTGTTCGGAATATTATTCACTTGGCATCAAATCTATTGAGATTCTCGTACAACAGGAGCTGAATATCTGGTCTCTGCTCACAGAGATGCCTTTGCCTTCAAGGCACCATCCAGCACTCCATCAAGCCATTTCGTGATGTGTTGGTTCACAGCCTCGGAAGCCTGCCATAACGCCCAGTGAGACGCCTTGACTTCTTCCCGAGTCAAGTTGGTAAAGGCTGAGTCCATTCCCTTAGACATAGACGGCGGGAGAGCCGAATCGTCAGTTGCTGTGATGAACAAAGCCGGCATCTCGAACTTGTGGCCACCCTTCTTGGCCACCTCTACATCGTCGCGGTGGTTGAGCTCCTGCATGCGGTAATAGTTCAGAGGGCCACGCAGCTCGGGGGGTTCTTTCGAGGCATATTCTTTGGCGTAGTAGTCCAACTCTTCCTTGCTGACAAGTGGCGAGGGACCGAGTTCTGGCAGCTTGTCGAAGTAGATGCCGTCCTTCGCAGAGAATCCAAGATCGCCGCTGGGTGTACGGCCGCCATAGAGCGCATTCAAGAACTGTCGGATCTTCTCCTCTCCTTGAAGACGGGACTGAACCTCGGGTCCCTTGAACTGCAGTTGGTAGCTAAAGTTGAGCAGATGGCCACTCTGAATAATAGCTTCGAGGGGAACAAATGTCTCTCTGGGCTGCATGTAGGGTGTGCAGACACTGAAGACACCCTTAATCAGCTGAGGATACCAGCAGGCGGCCTTCCACACAATAGCACCACCCCAATCGTGTCCACCAAGAATGATCTGTCCATCCTCTCCAACGTACTTCCGAGCCAGCTCGTTAATATCAGCTGAAAGGCTCTTGTATGTGTACTCCTCAAGAGACTCTGGAGCATCAGTGCCGCCATATCCCACCATGTCGGGGACAATGACTCGGAATCCTAAGGACATAAGATAGGGAACCTGATAGCGCCAACCAAATCCAAGATCTGGGAAGCCATGGATGAGGACTATAGTCTCCAGGGGGGTGCCCTCAGGCTCTCCAACGATGTACTTGTAGTTTTTACCCCGAATCTGCGCAGTCTCGGTTTTGACCCGAGAGTCGTTTGGCACAAGCTTATCGGGAGCCATGATGAGCAACGTGACGCCCCGCGTTCTTTTGTGCGATCTGTTAAGATTGTTAATGATGAGCTGTTGTAAAACCCAAGGTTTAAATAAAGTTGCCTGTCCGTGTGGGGAAGCAAATACATGTTGAATTACATCATGGTGGAATACGGTACTCACTTTCTCGTGTAAATGACTCGTGGGTGCTTTAGCTGTATTCTTACGAAGAAAGCACCAATCACCTGCAACGACCGGATTCGCAAATGTAAAGGAAATGCTTTATCTTGAGACTGCACGGCACAGAGTCAGTCTATATAGTACCAGTTTCATCCTGGCCAGCTTCGAACGTGCTGTAGGGTGGAGTCCGAGCAAACCGAGGCATGGACGGGAGGACTTCCTAATTTAGGATAATCAGAATGCGAATCGCGGCTAAGAGATACATATCCTCCCACTGTTGCTGTTGTGTTACACCAGCCAGCGAAACATATGTTCGTTCTCGGCATGTTACATAACGCAGTGTAGGTCAATGGTGGATTGATGGTGGATGCGTTGAAGCGGTCTGTCCGAGTCCGAGTCCGAGGTCAAGTAGGCAACGAGACGACAAGATAATAAAAACATAACGCCGAGGCAACATCCATGGGGTATCAAATCGTATTAATACTAAAGCAGTTGAACTTAATAATAAAGGGCTCCAACATAAAGCGCCTTCATGAACACGAGATCTCTACCTTCTCTCGCGTAGCTGGACATAGTTGTGCAGAACAAAAACCAGGATTTCCTCCACCAGGTCAACAAGTCAAAACACGACATCAATCCGTGCACTGCATCCAAATGAACCGCTTCGGTGACAATAATCAGTAAATCACCATATCTTCGTCAGCTTCTTCCAACACATCCGCCGACTCATCGTGATGATGGTCATGATTAGACGCCTGAAGCGGCTTCTCTCGACCATGTGGTGATTTTTCAGGGTCATTCGCGTCTTTGGAGTTATGAACCAACTCCTCACTTGACGGCGCTGTTGTCTCTGAAGGTTGTCTTCCTCGTTTCGCTTGTCGCCCTTTTCTTGCGTTCAAACTTTCAACTTCGCGCTCTATCGTGGCCTTAGTTTGCTGGATTTGATCGTCTATTGTATCTTCTTGTTCTGCTGTGAGTTTCCAAGGGAGATAGTACTGGATATGTCAATATGAATTTCGAAGTGATAGATATTTGCATCAACATACGATATGTGGCCTTGATTTTGTCTGTAAGTACCGAGCCATCGTAAGCATTTTGGTATGCTTGCTATGCATCTTTGCAATCTTGTTAATTCAACAGCACAGAAATTGGCATCCCTGCGGCCAACTTACAACTTCCTCATCGAACGCTATTTGTTCGCCTCTCCGAATTTCAGTGAGTCGCAGTCGTTTCTCCTCGCGCAGTTTATCTTCCTCGATGTTCTGCTTTTGTAATCGTTCTTGTTGTTTGCGTTCTATCTCCAAACGGCGCTTCTGCTGTACACTGCCACTCGTCTGGCTTAGAGTGCTAAGTAGACCCCCGAATAACCGCTTGCCGCGTCTCTTCTCTTCTTGCGTCGCGTTTTTTCGGCGATCTACGTCAATACCTGGAGAGTCTCCATATGAATCGCGGCGGTTTGGAGATGAGTTCCTCTTCCGTGGTTCGCTCGGAGCTTCGCGGAAATGATCGTCATGTTTCGCACGTTTCGTGGAGAGTTCGTCAACATTTATTGAGGCCTTTCTTTTCATGGGCTCCTTGTTTCGTGCATCTTCAGACAGTGTATCGTTATGCTTCTCGTGGTCTGCTTTGGTATCATCCAAGGGACAGAGCCTAGAATGAAGTTAGTAAGGCACAGAGAATAAGGGTTTCGGCCTGAAAGCACTCATTTCTGGTTTCCATCTTCGATCGTCATTATAGAAGCCTAGTTATTCGAGCTAATCAGACATATAATCAGCTTTTGCAGCTGTGCTAGCCAGGGCGGAACAGAAACGTAGGCTGAAGCTTGATGATGTCCCTTGTCAAGGCTGAGGAAGGTGGGACTGTGATGTCGTGGAAAGCGGCAAGAGCTAAAGCGCCCCACCGTTTTGATTGGCTTGCGACTCTGTCGCCCCTCGAAGCTGTCAGAACGCTGCCGCAAGGCTGAGAAATCTCCAAATCTTGAACTTTACAACGTTTTACTCCGGAACTTTGCGCCTTCTCTCTTCCTCAACATATCCCTAATTCTGACCGCGCATCTCATTCCAAAAGCTCACATATTGTTTTCCCGCTCGTCATAGCCATGTCTCGCCATCATCCGTAAGTAGCCATTGATTCTGACTTTTTAGAATTGCAGCTCAGCTAACTTTCGCACAGCGATCTTGTTATGTGTCGCAAGCAGGCTGGTATTGCCATCGGTCGTCTCTGTGACAAGTGTGATGGCAAATGCCCAGTATGCGACTCCTATGTTCGGCCTACGACGCTCGTGCGTATTTGCGACGAGTGCAGCTTCGGCAATTATCAGAACAAATGTGTTGTATGCGGTGGTGAGGGCATCTCGGACGCGTTCTACTGTTTCGAATGCACGCGTCTTGAGAAAGACCGCGACGGATGTCCTAAGATTATAAATCTCGGCAGTTCGAGGACAGATGTGAGTAGTCCCTGGATGATTATAGTCTGACTTCGCAGCAGGATGCTGACATTATTCTCTTCCCAGTTATTCTACCAAAAGAAAACAAATCGTACAACGCAATACTAGCCGAGTTGTGGCCTGGGCTGGCCGTGCAGTGTGGTGCTTGGCTGATTCAAGGTCAACTTAGACCTTTCATCACAGGTGTTTAGGCGTAAAATGGAATATGAAAACGTGGTTTTTGGATTGAGCGACAGCTATCTAGTAATTACAATTGACCAGCTTGTTCCTTATTCAAATTTGCCAGAACTCGCCTTTGAACAACACACCGCGGCTGAAAAGAAAGGTTCTACCCATAGACTCCTCGTAACACATGAGATACTAATAAATAATACAATAGAACTGATCATATGTAACTGACCTTCACCCCCATCCCAGCTGTGCCCTTGACCTTAGCCCAAAAGACCGCAAGTATTCTCTTCACTCTCTCCCGAATGTTGGTATTACTCAGCATAAGAATCAAACCCATAACAAACGCCAGAAACTTGAATAAGAGCATCGGGTTCGAGTTCAGTGAGGAACCCAAATGTTCGATAATAGTGCGCAGTTGTGCGATAACCATTGAAGCGCGTGATGTAAGAGTTGGAGCCTGCGAGACTGCTTTGCCGTTTGCCTTGGGTCCTGCTTGATTCGTCCCTCGAGGCCTTGACTGCCTCGACGACGAAGATGATGGAGCTCTGGCCTTCCGAGGTCGAGTTGAACCAGTATGGCTGGCTGTATCGTCAATCCCGTAATCAACCTCGCTCCCTTCGCGCTTCAGACGCTCCTCTTCTATCCGTTTTCTTTCCTTCTCTTCATTCTCTGCGCGCAGTCTCTTCGCCTCCTCAATTTCCCTCTTCAGCTCATTCTCTTGTCGTTGGCGCTCCTCATTCTCAAGTCTTTCCTGTTCTTGCTGTTCATCGTGGAGGCTTTGCAATGCCTGCAGGAAAGCTTCGCGGCGCTCTTCGTCTAGGACTGAGCTGACGCTGATAAACTCACGAGCATAATCCCATTCGTTGTTGCGCAATAGTACATGGAGGGTGTATAACTCTAGAATCTTGACACGAGCATTTAGATCTCTCGGCGTGTTGGCGCCACTCGCTCCTTTCGCAGGAGACCGATAACGATTCGACATGGGCGAGCTCGTTGATTCAGCGAGCCGCCCGGCGACATCAAGATTTGGTGTGTTGGAGGCGGCCAGATAAGCCTCGAGTTTGTGCTGGTTAAGCTTCTGGTCACGGGCATGTGCCAACAATATCGTCGCGCTGCTCGAGTCAGTCCATGTCTCAAATCGACGCATTCCAAACGACTTACAGATTAATGACCACGTCCGAGTCAACATCGCCCTCCACTCCATGGTAACCGTTCGTGACTACCTCATCCCATATTTCTCCTTCGCGAACTTTGGTACACAAGGCTCTCCATTCTTGGTTTCCAAAAGCATCCTTGCCCTCCTCAGGTTCTAACTCGACAATGCCATTGAGTATAGTAAGGTACAAGCTCCAGACCTTAATGCGAGTCGTTCTTGATGCTCGGGCGACTGGCGCAGGTTCGCCGTCGTCAACATGTTCGGGCGGAGTAATCAACGGGAGTAATGTCGTCAGAGCTTCAGGCAAACGACGCGTGAGGAATAAAGTAGAAGCTTGTCGATAGGTCTTCGAAATTTGGGAAGGATGCCGTGAGGATGTAGAAGAAGCTAGAGAGGATATAGATGTTGAGAGGAGGCTGTTTGACAGGCCAGAAGGTGCAGTTGATGATGACATCGCGGTCGGACTGTAAGCGGCGTGGCCATTGAAAGACATGTTGACAGTTGTATGAGAGCAATGAGATCAGAAGCGCTAGCACGGAAGCTGCTGAGACTCAAGATCGTCTACACATACAAGGCGATGATGTCTTTTGGAGGTGGCAGACAGCTGAAGTTCGGATCATGTAGAGGACAAGCGGTATGTAATGGAGACGGAGCTGGGGTTGAAGACTGGGCGACAGAAAGAGAAACAGGGCGAATGTATGGAATCACCCCAGATTCATGATTCAATTGAGCATCGTCGGAATAACAAGAGAGATATGGGGACACAGGAACGTAGACAAAAGCCAATTTCGGGACTCACGCGTCAGGGCCGAATTCAGTCAAAAAGGCCGTGACATGTGGTTTGTAGGAGCGACACAACAATTGGGAAGCTGGGAAAGCTGATGAGCCAACCAGGTCAACGGTAGAAAAACAATCCAGCAATTTTAGCCTCGGTACGGGTACCTACTTCTCGACTTCCAGGTGGGGGCCATGCTCCATTTCCAGCGCATCCCCCAGTTCCGATCCAGAGGAGCCGACAACGGACGGCTGAAGCACGGCCGAGGTTGACAGCTCAACATTCGACCTGTATAAATATTGTTCAAGGTACTCTGGGTAAAATTACCTTACCGATACAATGACGACATCTTGTCCACGATTTCTCAACAGTAAGCCCGTGAAATCTCAGTATAATGCAGCTGAAGAACCATTCGTTGCAAACTTTCTGTAGGGTCGAGCTCGGCATCTACTCCGCTTGTTCTGTGTTGTTGTCCAAACCCGGGTGTCTTCATTTCCCGTTGATCCAATGACCTAGGTAGGCTCGGCAGGATATCCTTATCAGTCACGAGCATACGTTGCTTGGCCCGAGCAGACCAATGAATAAATAACTACACCAAATACGAGGCACTGACTTATAACAGAGCTGAATGTACCACGATTAAATGCCAGTGAGTCCTTCTTAATATTTACTATCATTTAATTACCACGTAGTACAGTAGCGTGCAATCCAGTTCTCCGGTTCATCGAAGTCTCTCTCACACGTGATCGGCATCTTGGATCCCCATTAACACCCACCGCCACCATGCGCTAACGCCTGCCTGGGATTACAACATTATCTAAGACAGTTTCAAACGTTCTATAATTTGATGAAGACATGAAAAGGTAAACAAACAAGATCAAACGAGGAATAGACCTCATGCGACCAACCTCATGTATGCTCTTTCAAAAGCATATCTTGGTCCTGATGATTCTTGATTGAAAAACGCATAGCCACGTTAAGCAACATCAGGTTTCTAAGGCATTCCAATGAGATATTAGCAAGAACACTGGCTTGTTCGGATTTCAATATAAAGACAAAGATACCCTGAAAATAGACACTGTTTAAATAAAAAGTCCATGGTATTATGAACGCCACCCTAAATCAACCATTAGAACACCACCCATTCTATTATCCAATCTATCCCACACATGACACCCCCAACTCATTGCCTTCGAGTTGACCTCCTGGCCGGTGCTCTCTCTTGCTTCACGTCCTTGATACCCTCTCGCACGCCGATGATGCTGTCTTCTCTTTCGATCAGCGACTCATCAACACCATTCAGTTGTTCCTGGCGAACCCACCCAGCCTCAACTGCAAAGCATACCACGTCTGCAGCACAGCTGAAGCAGGGCAGTTCACCTCCAGCATCTGGATCCAGGTAACTCCACATCTCTCGCGTCTCTTTCTTGAATCTTGCAAGCTCCTTCTTATCGCCCTTGAAGTGACTTATCAAATATTCGTAGAGATATGCCAGCCAAAGCACATTCGAGTATGGAGCATAAGCGTCCCATGAGAGTGGTCCATCAATGCCCTTAGCGTAGGGTGTATCGTGAGCTTCTGGCGGGAGACATGTACGGTCGGCACGGAGAAGGAATGACCTCATCTGGCGGTAAACTTTGCATTGTGCTGCATGAGTACTGGTGAACAGGCTGAGGTCTCTTTCGAGATCAAAGGCCACGGGCTTTGCATCTTCAATAGAAAGATCTTCGCCACGAGACAGGCCGTAGTCCAAAATCGTGATGTCCAAGCCTGAAAAGCCAAAGAACCCCCCTGAAGGAGGACCCATCTCTCGAGGGGGTTTGACTTGCCGGATACATAAGTTACCCTCGTGAAGATCGCGATGCTACTCAAGTTAGTGGGTTTTATCAAATTGTGTGGCTTGCAGGATGAGGTACCTCAAACATCACAAGATCCTCAGCTCTCGCCAAAGCAATAGCCTGCAAGAAAAAGATATCCCATAATTGGCTCTCACTCGTTAATTTCCAGTCTTCTAGCGACGTTCCAGCATCGCCCAGTTCAACGACTAAGAATCGTGTATCCTCCAAATATCGGCTCGGCGAAGGATAAAACTGTGCTCGGTCCGGATCTTGTCGTTTCATCTTCTTTTGAAACGACTGATGCGTCTCGAGAAGCTGACGTGTTGTTTTACCCTGAACGACGTATCGCTCCTTGTATACAACGAAACCTGGAATATCTGCCAGCCATTCCGAGATCTGCAGCTCGCCTTGGACATCATCTTCAGGGTGAGGCTCTTCATCGACCAAGCCAGAACGAATTTGAGCTTTGGTCTGTGGCTTTATGGGCGATGGGAGCCGAATAACTTTTATGATGCTTGTTCCACGCTCATTTGTAACACGATATACCTCGGCGTAAGATGCTTCGGCTATCTTGTCGATCCTATCTCCTGGTGGACAGACATCCTCCCATGTGAGGGTTCTGAGTTGTGTTTGTTGCGCGGTCTCCTCTGAGGCTATCTGAGCCTCCAACAATCTTGAAAAATCAGCAGAATCATCCTCCTCCACCGGTGGGTCTGAAATTGGTTCTTTAGACTCTGAAGTGCCTGATTTCTCAAAGACTTTGGGGCTTGTATCTTCCTTGGTGTTGATAACCTCGCTTTTCTTCTCCTGGACAGACTTTATGGTCTTTTCTGGTAATTTTGCCTTTGGCTTGGTAGTTGCTTTCTCATCGAAATGAAGTGACGAGACTTTATCTGTTATAAGAGAGATGGAGTCTTTTTTTATGCTTGGTTCTTGTTGTGGCCGTACTGGGCTCTGCGGTAGCTCGGCGAATAAACGTTCAGCTTTTGACCGTTTTGCTGGTTTGCCATATTTCTTAACCGCTGTACTCCGTGTCATTTCGATGCTCAAAAACCAAAAACTTTTTTTATGAATAAGTTCAACAGTCGATTCTCTAGATTGTCTGTAATCAAGGACCAGTCATGATATAAACATCTTCAGCCAGAAAGAATGGTTGGTGGGACAACGGGCCCACTCGTGGCTCTGAAGGACATTCGATTCTTCCAGCTACCTTACTTTCTAGAAATGTTCTAGAGTACAACGGTTCTGCATCCAATATTTCCGAACCTACCAAGCCAATGAAGTCCGTAACAACATCATATTATAAAGGAGCCATCGTTGGCAACGCGATGTTCAAGGCGTTATTGAGCTATTTCACATGGGACAGTTGCCTGTGCAAACCCCGATTGATGGCGCTGTAAATCAGAATTAAGCATTTTTATGCTATACCTAAGAGCAGACAATTTGTTATATGATACGATGTTCGGTACTTGCTTCGTCTCATCGCTCCTCCCTCGAACTCACCAGCCCTCGATAGTCTGCAGATATTGGATGTTAGCAGAGTGTAATATACTTGACTTGTGCTGGCCACTTATTTGATCCATCCGTTTATGCTGCGCAATGCTAGAGATACCGATAATTGTTGTTAATTTGTAAGTGTCACAAGCGTAGCTTCAAGAAGCCGATCATCAGTATATAGTATTCATTACTACTAAACAGACCCAGCAACAATTGCGATTAGCCAGTTTCTATTGCCAGCAACTGAGCAAGTTCACACTAACATTCCTTAGGAATAAATATTATTCCATACAGTTTCTGGCCTAATGGCAATTCCCTCTTATCCCCTCAGCATGAGCTTTTTTCTTCTTCTTTCGTATTGGAGAGTATTGCATAGGTTGGCTACAGTGGGGAAAGCTACACGATATTACAACGTGGACAGCAAAAATGCAAGTTGAAAATGGGCACGATAAGAACAAATAAGACATGAGCAGAGACGATAGCATCCAGCCTCACATTGAAACGAATGAACAACCGTGGGCCTTGAAGTAATAAAGTAAGTGGGGATACACTTACTAGATCCGTCGAGGTGACGACGTGAAAGGGGCTTGGTATATGCGTTTCTCTGTGCATGTACCCTGATATGAAACTGACAGCTGGAGAAAGTACTTTCCAGAATAATGTCAAAAGTGAATATACATAAGATGAATGCTCTGTAAGTCCGAAATACCTATGCATTCTCCTCCGTAATTGCGGCCCTCGGCTTGTGGGCACTGAGCGGCATATTGATGGATGGATGCTGACAGCATACCTAGCCATGAATAGAAACAATACGACGAACTAGAGCTAATAAGCGGACGTGGAGTAGCACTTGCGAGGAGGCGTTTGTTAGCCGAAGGACCCTTCCGCGTCAAAGGCAGAACGCAAAAAAGCAACTGTCTGTGGGCATGAACAAACATAGACGTTGAATTGCTAATGAGCCGAAGTGATATTATGGAGAGTTGCTGATCCTTTCTATCACTGGCAGGGTTCGTTTATGGGAGATTCTTGGGTATTGTTGCTTCCCCTGAGTGTCCTTTCTTTAGCACTGTGAACCTCCACTAGATCCAACTGGATCTGACAGCGCCAACCCCCAAGCTGGAGCTCTCAATAGCAACCCGCTTTGTTATATTTCAAAATCCTTCTTTTCCCTAGTCTCTACCTAACACCTTTCCTAATTACTCTATACTTTAAAAAGGCAATATTTATTGGCCTTTGTTGACTCGCTGCATCTGCTTCAGCTAGGCATTTCAAAGTTCTTTGACAGGAGTCAATTTGGCCAATCAAAGACTGCAAGTTGGCCACAGCCCAGTCTTTTGAGCCTCGTCCAACGTCCCGCCGCACGGTCTCTCCAATCGTCGTCTA